ATTAAGGATTTGCTACCTGTAATTTCTTTCCCCTCAAATAAAAATTATCTACTTAGGAATTGCAATAAAATATTAGAACTCATCCAATAACCTTGTGTGCAGAAATTAACTGGTGAACTTTTTACAGAAACGCATTATACGATTTGTAAAAAATAAGGTACCATCACAAGTGGCAGCGTTTATGACACAGAAAAGCAAAGAGAGTTTTTACATGTACGTTTAAGAGAAAAGTTGTTTATCTCCAGTGTTTAGCTAAATCTCTCACACATATTTCCTGATCATTCTCAACTGTACTCTCCTCAGATATGAACTTTCAGGCACCCATGGATGATAGAACAGTTGTTGGATATGCCTGCAATGTTTAGTTAGGTACTGGAAAAAGAACTCCATGAGACCTTCCTTGTCCCAAGAGAGGCACTACGACCCTTCTAACTATTATACCAGAATAAGGGGTAAAAAGCACACATTTGGTTCAGCATGTGTCACAGAGGAATTTGTGACTGATTTCTGTAGAGTGAAGGACTGTAAGTTACCAACACTGTTCTCCAGGAATAGTCTGTTGAAACTGAGCTTTATGAAGCATCAGTAATTCTGAGCCAGCACTGCTAAAGCCCTGTCTGTTTCATGAGGAGGAGCTGTGGGGGCAAGAGCTCCACGCCAGGTAATGAAAGGGCAACTTCAAGGTTAAGACGCCTCCCCTGCTTGTTTACATGTGTCCCTGGGCTTGTGGGTTCACGGAAGACAGCTCAAAAAAGGCCAACTCATGAATGAAATTGAGTCTTACCTGAGAGTCCCAGAAGCCATTATTATTCCAAAATAATAATTACAACAGTAGCACACTCAGGGACAGGTTTATGACACCTCATTTTTAATACCTATTCATCTAAATGGCTGTGCAGCCATATGAACAGAGGAAATGCAGAGGAATAGCACTCACAGAAATCAACCCTGAGATCAGTGGTGACATCTGCCAGCTGTTGGGTCCCTCCTTCCTCAAAAGGAAACACTGCTGACTTCAAGACATCGTTATACCATCACGGGGAGAATATTAAAAAAAGAAAACAACAACAGCGAATCTTTCATTGGAAGAATTCTTTCACTAGGATACTAAGTTCTACGTTCACTTCATTACCTATTCTTGTGTAGGGCCAGAAAAAGATACTATCACCAACGACCAAGTTAAAAGAGTAACAGCCTTGGGCGGTGCCCATGGCTCAGTGAGTAGGATGCTGGCCCCATCTACCGGAGGTGGTGGGTTCAAACTCAGCCCCTGCCCTGGCCAAATTGCAACAACAAAAAAATAGCTGGGGATTGTGGCAGGTGCCTATAGTCCCAGCTACTTGGGAGGCTGAGACAAGAGAATCACCTAAGCCTTAGAGCTGGAGGCTGCTGTGAGCGATGGCGCCATAGGACTGTACCGAGGGCAACAAAGTAAGACTCTGTCTTTTAAAAAAAAAAAAAAAAGAATAACAACAGCCTTTGTTAATTTCAGAATTAATGTGAACAAAAACAGTAAATGTGCTATTATCTTCTTTGTTTTTATTATTTGTTTTAATTTTAAATGAATGTGGGATATGAACACATTCTAAACAAAGGGAAAAAAGAAGAACACATATTGGGAAACTATCTGGGTTGGTTTTGCTCTCTTGGGATATAAATGATGTTAACAGTCACTACCATAGCCAGGGCTACCGGACAAACTAATTCTTATCCCTGACACTGACTTTGAAAGCATCTAAAGGAAAAAGCACACATGGACTTTCAGGAGCGTCATTTATATGAGATGACATAAACCAGAATGCATGTTCCAAAAAGATAAGAAAGATCTTGTCATGATGCCAGCAAAGAGTACTCACTCCATAACCATTTGGTTCCGTTCTTTCTTAATCTTGTTTAACTCAATCAAGCAAAACTTATTTTTCTCAAAAGAGATGCAACAGTATTCAAAATATCATTTTCAGGACCAAGATAAAGAAAATTTTCCGAAGAAGCTTCAAGTGTAGATCTGTTTCCAAAACTGGTGGCAATGTCTAGGACTGATGGCAGGGTGAGGTGGGGACTTTAGATCCTCAGTCATTCCTAGTAACCCCCAGAACCTGGTCAAAATATGTGAATCTTAAAATAAAGACAGTACTCTTATTATGCAACTCAAGACAAGTCCCCTTAAGTCAGACTGAAACCCCAGCGTTTGGATATTCTAGGGTTGCCACTACTCAGAGTCATTATAGGTATAATGCAAGTACCATTTGTCTGTCTTTTTTTTGGCAGTTTTTGGCCGGGGCCAGGCTTGAACCTACCACCTCTGGTATATAGGGTTGGCATCCCACTCCTTTAAGCCACAGGCACCACCCATTTGTCTTTCTTTTTACTGGAAAAAGCAAAGTCAAGTAGAAAGGATAAACCCTGGGGCCTGGCAAGCCTGGCATTGAATGCCAGCTGGGTTTGAAAACTCATTCACGGAAGCCTTTAGGAAAACAGTAAACCCGAATCTGAAATTGCCCTGCTATAAAAAGTCATTGAGATTATCCAGTGAATCTGGGGACACCCATCTCGCTAGCATGTTAAAGGACTAAACAGGACAGTGTCCACACAGCACCTGGTAGACCTTAGCCCCAGGCAAGCAACCCCCCAAAGTCTCCTATGTTGTTCTTCCTCCTTTTTAAAGATTCAAGACCACCACTGACACTTTACGGTGGCCCTCCCTCTGTTGAAGTGAGAAAGAGAAAATCTGTCTGAATAACAGAAGCACAGCTGGGATTATGTTTTCAGGAGTTCCGACACATCACTGAACCAAGAAATTTTCTATTTTGTAAGTGATTAACAAAACTCAGCACACAGAGTTCTAGATCCTAGGGTTCTAGGAATCAGTGTTCTTTCCCTTTCAATCTCCACTGGGTCCCACTTCTGGGCAGAGAGTCAATGCATCTGTATCTGTTCAACTTTTTCTTTATGCCGCCCTCCGGCTGAAGAGGGGCTCAGAGAAAAGTTCGTGGCCTAGTCCAGGTTGCCATAAAAATATTGTTGCCAAAATAGTACGCAGGAGCCAGCAGAGCCACTTATAGACATCACGAGATATAACAGGACTTCTGCTCCTGATGTGTCCTCTGTCATCTATTAATGGACCAGGTAGGGGCAGGCAGGGGACACCACAGCTACATAGTAGCTAAGGCCATGGCAAGGAGTCTCAGAAATTCCTGCCCTTTGCACACACACTGAATTCCCATGGCCTATGCTATTTTCAAATTTTCAAAAGACTTCTCTCACTGTGCAGGAACAAAAATGCTATCTTGATACTATGCGCAGGACTGTGTAGCAGCTACTTTAGGAAACTGAGTTCTTTTCCTAAATAATGACTATTTCTGGGACTGTGGTGAAGTAAAAAGAATGCTGTCTGGTTCATAAAAATGTTATAAGCCTGTCACCTGGGAGAAAGTAGGAAGTGAAACTCCCGACAGAGAGAGAGCACACCAGTGGGGCAGACAGTACGTGACAGCAGAACTCTAGCCCACGCTCTACAGCAGCCAGTCCGGAAGCCAAAACAAAGCCCTGGCAGTAGAAATGTCAGGGCTTGGCCGGGTGCAGTGGCTCACGCCTGTAATCCTAGCCCTCTGGGAGGCTGAGGCAGGTGGATTGCCTGGGCTCACAGGTTCGAGACCAGCCTGAGCAAGAGTGAGACCCATTTCTACTAAAAGTAGAAAAACTGAGGCAAGAGGATCACTTGAGCCTAAGAACTTGAAGTTGCTGTCAGCTATGATGCCATGGTAGTCTGGTCAGGATGCCAGAATTAGATTGTGTCTCAAAAAAAAAAAGAAAGAAATGTTAGGGCTTGGTTAATAACTGACAGCTTCCCTATTTTTTGTCCCTGCATTCAACTTAGGACCAAACATAGAAAGCCAAAGACGTTCCTCAAGCTAATCACATAAGATTGCCTCTAATTGGCCCACCTCTAACTTCCTGTGCCAACAGTCTCCCATCAGAGCTTATCTGAAGCCTTCCCTTCTGCTTTGAGCCTCCGCCATCTAAATGGCATGGCTGGCTTACCCCCTTGTTATAGCAAATGGAATAAATGGTCCCTGTTTATTCTCCCCTGGGTGGTCTTTGCTTATTTCCTTAAGATTTACTTGCTTTTTTTGTTATATCTATTTTACAAACAAGATCATCTTTTGTGATTTGCAGTGCTAAGAGCTATGGAAACTTAAGAAATTTAACATGACCTTTGCAGCCTCTGAGCAACCCCCAAATCTGCCTACAATGTGCCCCCTGCAAACTCCTGAACTCAAAGAACCACTGTCCAACCACCAACCCCCCCTTGCTCTTCATGGATCCAAACACAACAAAGAATGACTCACAATCTCAGCATGACCAGCCACCCCAGTTTGTTTAGAACTGGCCCAGGCGAGCATCAAAAGTCCTGTATCTCAGCCTCAAGCAAATTGTGATGGTTGGTCTCCCCAGATGACTCTCAATGTCATGCCTTTCTATACCTCACCACAGATGCAGTTCACTCTGCCAGGAATGTCCCTCCCTCTTGGCATTAACATGTCATCAGCCCTATGAACTCCTCTCCATCTGCCAAGCCCCTGCCTAAATGCCCACTCTTGGGGAAAGCATCTTTGAAAACACCCCAACCCACAAACCCAAGTAGATCGACTACAGCCTCCTCCATGCCACTGTACAGCTTGTGTGTTTTGTCGCATGATATAGGGATGATTGGCTGTGGCATTTAGATGCCCACACAACAAAGTCCCTGACAGCAGGTGCAGTGCTGTCCCCTCACGTCATCACCACCCCAAGCTCCCATTTGTCTGTTTCCTGCGCAAATGAGTTAATGGATGACTGAACAGCTTAGCGATGACATTCATTAATAAATTATTTTTTTAGAAGAAATCCAGAAAGCTGTAGATTGAGATGAAGGGACAGCTTATGTGTATTCAGCATTTGGGCACCTTATCTGAGATATATTTGTTAATCCCTCTCAGCGACCCGGATGGTTTATCTACCTCAATCTGCGTGTTGTTGTCCTGCCCGTCGTCCAGTAACAGGTCCGTGAAGCCTCGTGGCTCTGCAGAGTCCTGGCCCATGCTTGCTCTGTTCGTGTCCACCGCCTTGAGGGAGTCCAGGTTCCTTTTCCACCTGTGGCTGTAGGAGTGTAAATCCACAGCCACGTCCTCTGCTGTCCGAGGCAGGGCCTGAGCAACATCATACTGCCAGTCTGGAAAAGACAGAAAATGCGTTACCACCTGTGACAAATCACACACACATGCAGCACCTGCTAGAAGAGAAATAATTCTGTGGTCACAAGGGTAGGAAAGTAACTTAGGACGGGGAAATCCGTTTACTGGTGTTATCTGACCTTGGTATGAACAAGGGGAGGAGCTCAGGGAGTCCCTGAAACAGACGTGCATCCGTGGGACAATGCATCTTTATTCCCCGTCCTCTCCCCTTCCAGACGCGCACACCTCATAAACATTCTCTAGCTGTTCCCAGAAAGCCAGCACAAATCCAAACAGAGAAACGAAACCAAGTGATTTTCAGTTTATTTGAAAATAAAAGTCTGACATTATTCACTTGTAAGCTTATACTTATTTTCCATGCCGTGTGTTGGACGGCAAAGAGACAACAGTGTCATCCAACGGGTTAAATAATACGCGAAATCACGTTCGTGTAAATGGGAGAGCCAACCTTGTCGCTCGCAAGCCAGACTTGGTTCGCTGCCTAACTCATTTAATAAGCGGCCCCCTCAGGAGTCATCGCCAACGCTCTTGTTCATTTGTGCTGTTCTCACCTTGAAATCTTGTCAGGGTCTAAAGGATGACAGTGATGGGCACTTAGAGAAATGGATGGCAAGGCGAGGAGATCAAATCACAAAGGTATTTTAAAGCCATCTGCAGGGACTGGCCTCACTGACCCAGCTCATCCTGCTACCTCGGGAGGAAAAATGAGATTTAATCATTGCTCTCCGTCTTTCATTTCGGTGGGTCAGCTGGGGAAGGTGTACCCTAGGTATCGGAAATTCAGTTTCTGAATAAGAAGAACAGCCTTCTTCTACACAACCATTTCCCAAAGATCTGAATTGATGGGCTTTATAACTGGCAGAAGATGAGTTCAAAAGGGCTAATAGAGCAGTGATTTGATTACAGCGGTGATGTGCCCCTCAATGCAACAACATTCCAAAAATCCAAACTGTATTTAATGCAGCTTAGGGTACCACTGGATCAGCTACTTAGAACTCTCAATAATTAACTTAAGGCTCCACCACTAATCACACACATAAGGGTCTAAATAGCTCCTTTTTAGCTCTCGGCTATTCTTTGGTTTCACAAAGAATCTAAAAGACCCCCTATTGCCTGATGCCAAGGTGGATATAGCCTGGAGAGAAACACTCCCACAGCATCAGCCATCCAGATCTTTCCTTGGGCTCACAGAATATCAGAGCTTAAAAAGACAACAGAAGCTGAAAGAACAAAACCCCACAGAGAGAAACCCCAAAGCCAGGGAAATGTAGTGTTGTGTTCAATTCATTGAATTGTTGTAGGCTGAAAAGAATTCGTAATAAAGCTCGGAGCGGAGTCTCACCCAGCCTCTCCATCAGTGATTTTCCACGAGTGTGCCGTGATAGGGTTTTAGGTGGGAGGAAAATTTGTAAAGATCATTAATTAAATTATTTTCACAAAAAATTGAAAGCATAGTAAGTATATTCTTTTTTTAACTCTTTTTTGGTAGTTTAAGTATGCTGGGAAGTTTAACTATAGGTTCAAGAGTGCCATGAGTTTAAAAAGGTTGAAAAACACCTCTCTATGTAGTTAAGTGTTCAATATGTACACTTAATCAGTCCTATCATTGTTCGTTTGGGGTTGTTATTAATGCTGTGGTCCCTACTGGCGGCTGAACAGGTCTCAGTAAGTGTTTAGTGACTCCCTGAACGAGTGAGTGATCATGATCATAGGACCAGGCAGAATTACCTAAGGGAAAAAACAATTGCACAAGGCTTCAGGAGTCCTGGGGTGAAATTCTTCCTGTTAAGTTTGCTAGCTGTGGGACCCTGCATTAACTTGTAAAAGTCTCTTTGCTTTTGTTACCCCATATTTTAAATGGGAATGAAAATACCTTGCCTGCAAAAAGCAAACCACTTTTCCTAAGGAAGTGTCGGGCCTAAGACCTATTATTCTAGGCAAAGCTACCTAAAGCAATTGTATTTGCCTTATTTATAGACACTGCTTCATTATCAAAAATGTCCGAGACAGCTTACAACAAAGGTGGGCGATACAATTTTAAAACAACCAGGTAACACTTAGGTAAGCATCAGACACCCGCGTTCCCCTTGCAATTGGGGTGGTCGCTCTCAGCAAGTTATACCACTGACACAGCTATGTGAGTACAAATAGCCACGTAGGAACAACTGAAAATCCACGTAGGATTCTTGGTAGAATATCAATCTAGATAAAAATGGTAACACACACAGCGCTGGATGTGGATAAAATGGTCCCACGTAGAAAAATGATATTCACAAACAAGATCCTCACAGCAAGGGAACACCTTCAACCAAAGACTTGTCCTCCCAAATATAAATCAGGAAAAAACCATATCTGAAACTTCTAAGAATTAGTCTTCATTAAACTCTTCAAAACAGATTTTCAAAGCAACCCTTGCTTTCTTTTAAATAGGTGTGATTTTCTCTTCCCTGATATTAATTTTACCATTTTCTTTTTACATAATTATGGCATTGAACAAAATAGTGCTTTGCAGAATCCCCATTAGGTCCTGTGATGTCGCATTAGGCTCTGGGGTCCTGGAGCCGGGAAGGAGTAGGTGGAGGGTCTAACATTGTAGGCCCCTTCTGTAGGTTTCTGTTTCTAAACTTCCTCAACCGCCCTTTCTCATTTTTCTTTCTGCTCTCTTACTCTAGGGAACAGATGAAAAGGATTTTCAGAACTGAGAAGCAATAAAGTCTCCACTTCCCACTTAAGTTGGAATTTGAGAAGTCTGATTAATGTTTCAAGCTCTTGTTTTTGTCATAACCTTCGAAGTCAGCCTTTAGCAGAGAGGTCGGCCTCTGCAGAGAATGAGCCTGAACCTGTGTTCCAGCACTTGGCAGGTTAAGTCTCCAGACAGCTGTGGGTTTGAATTTCTCCCCCATTGCTTAGCGGTGTTTTATGATTTCTTAGTTTTCATTTCTCTGTCACCACCGACAACTCTTGCAGCCAAATGCTGACTTGCCTCCATCCCTGTTCTTCCTAGAATTTGCCAACTTAGACCATGAAAACCGCATCACTTATTTGCTCTAATTGTGTTTACAAAGAGTAAACAGGATCTCAGAAAAAAAAAAAAAACAACTTGAGAGGTGCTCTAAGGAGAAAATTTGTGAATTTTAGGGCCCGGCTTTTCTGAATATCTTTGACTGTTCTTTCGTTGGCATTTTAAGCCTAATTCTTTTTCTACGGTCATGTTATAAATAAGCAAGGCTATCCAATCATGCATACGGGAAATGTTATTATATGTTCATAATTCAGTAGTACATGGTGCATCAAGGCTGAAGCATGAAATTGGCTTAGATTTTCATTCCCCTTCTGAATGATTTTTTAGAGAAGATAAAACAAGTCGAAATGGATGTTTCCCAGAAATAAGATAATCAGAAAAACCATACTGCAGTTATCTATATTGTGAATTACTCCTATGCATTTCACACGCTTTCAAACTCATAAGAATATTTTAAATTATTCCTTAAATCGGCACCCAAATGAATCACTCAGAAGCAAGCCAAAGGGATGTATGTAATGTAATTTTTCCCTTCCCAGCTGTGGTGAAAACAAAAACAACAGGAGGGATCTTTGAATCGTCTGGCTGAACAGATTGTTCACTTTCTACCTCCTGTATGTTAATTAAACCACCGACGGAAAATCTCAAATGTAATCTTTCCAACCTACGCCACTGTTGTTGTTAATCGGATAGTGCATGGAAATATTCAATGTATCTTATGACTTCCATTTGGATCAATATAGAGAAAGCTTTAGAGGTTTTTGTACCTCTGAAAATACAATCTGATCTTAACCCATGGTCAAGTTATTTTGATTACAATAGCAGAGAAACGCTATTGAAGAAAATGCTTACTGGTTTTTCAGTAGAACGGTATTATAAAACGCCACGTCTAGTTAATGCCTGAGATTAATGTCCAAATGTCACCCCTAAAGTTACCATATGTCGGGAAAAGGGGGAAATCATAGCTAAATGTACCTTTATTTACAAAATAGTCATTATACAATTTTGCAAAGAGGTGGCCAACAGGTAGGGACTATTTTGTAATTAATAAAATTTTGAAATTAATATTTTATATAAAAAAAGCACATTTAGCTGCAATTTTCCTCATGTACGATGACGTCAAGGGTGACTGTATTGGGACCTGCTGTCGAGTAAGTAATTCATGTGAGTCTTCTCTCCCTGTATTCTTTACAAACCTTGCAAGTCATTTTTGGGTCATCATATACTGTAAAATAACAAAATAGAGGCAAAAGAGAAGAAAGCTGTGCCGAGAAGGATATGTTTATATTTACGCCTTATTCCTACACCTTTATTTCTATACCATGCATTTAACAAATAATTACATGCTGAAAACATTTTAATACCATGTCTTAAGTCCTGCATACAAATCATACACATAACACACTCTAAACCACAAAGAAGTAACTGTGTAAACTGACATGTATCTTACTGGATTAGGGTCCATCATTACTGCACCTTTTGAGAAAAACTTCGTCCCCCACTTCGCAAGTGAACCAAATCACCTCTGGGAATCCTCTACAGAAACACTCAGATTGTTCACTGCAAACAGCTTTGCTGGCAAGATGGATCAGTGAATAGATGGAAATATTTGGCTAAAGTTGACAGCCGTGTGCTTTTACATCTCAATTTATTGCTGACTTAAAGAGGAGATTCTATAAAAATAGACAAATCCTGGGGTATGTTCATCAATGAACTGACTACACCAGCTTTGAGGTTTCCACTGGTAGCAATGCAGAGGATGATAACTACAGAAGGTAAAGCTTCCAGAGCAGTTTGTCTAGAGATATTAAGGAGTTTGGGCGGGACCTAGATGCCCTGTTTTATTAAAGCTCCCCAGGAAATTCATTGTATTTCTTGAGTTGAGAATTGCTAGATGCTCTAGCCCCAACCACATGTAAGCTCCACTTTCTCTTGCCTCCCAGCTGGTCTTATTCT